GAATCGCTAGGAACAAACGAACATTACATTTTTATTTATATAGATAGATAGAAGATGATCTGCTTTAGTTCATTTTCACAGAAAAGCATAATGCCTCACAGAAAAGCAAACTTAGGGCGTCGTATTCGTAGCGCCATCTGTTGGACATAAAAGCCTTAACCATAGATTATATAATTTAATTTATATGAATGCTTAACAGAATAATATACAGCCTATATCCACTCTGAAGTTCCATTCTAAATATTGGTGAAAGAATTTTTGAAATCGGATGAGTAGTTTCGGAGATTACCCGCTGCAAACAAACTTACATACAAACATTACCTCTTTATAATATTAGTATAGATATGTGAGACCTGAAAGGCCCCTGGGTCTAAAATAGTAATTTTATTAATAATGTTAAATATTGACATAAAATATTATTTCATTTTTGATGAGAAAGTAACGTTTTCCAACGTGGGAAAGATAGATAACAGATGCTACTTCCTTTGAGGGAAGTTCGTACATCCTCTGTTTTTCCCTTATCCACTAAAAATCTCGCTCAGATGGGAACTATCTACCCCTCTTTGATTCCCCTTTCATCCGTTCACATGAAAGAGTTTCTGGCAGATGATTGGTCGTAAATCCTGAGATATAGGGAAAATTTGTCTGAAATCGACAGACCTGGAAGTGTCCCTCCATACATTTTTCCTCCTGATGACCAACGCCCTTAGACGAGTCACATAGAATAATTCCAGAGTTAGCACTTAGAAGTTATACTTGGATTTTGTGCACATATCGATCTCCCATGGAAAGAAGTAAATGAACTTTATCTCCAAAGTGTCCCTTGCCTACAGAGAAGAAGACGAACGACAACTAACCCAGGTTGTATGTTTTTATAACGACTTTTGTGAGCTCTCTCTCTCTCGATCGCGCCTCGGTTATAGTATTAGTCCATATATCTCTCGACGTGTATCTTAATTGTAGTAGTTATATCCTTCCTTCATTTAATATTTTTTATTAATTTTTATTTTCTTATATCTTATTAAATTTATTGTTGTTTGTTTATCAAACGAAATGACTCTTAATTTGTGTCTGTTAGGGAACTATTCTCACTGAATAGGCCGAGTAAGTGGTACCCTTTTGCAGGTGCCCCCGGCTGATCTCACAGATATTTTTCAATACAAACTAGATATTAATAAATGTATGTGAATTTTTTCGTAGGAATATAATAATACAGTAGAGCGTCGTTTATCCGAATCAATTGGGGACTGGGATTGTTCGGATAACCGATTATGTGCGAAAAAATACATTAACCTATCCCATCCTGAAATTTTTCTCCGTTGCGTGTCGCTTTGCGTTGAATTTTCGTCGATGTTAAGCCTAACGTAAACTTTTTAAAATACAGTAGAGCGTCATTTATCCGAAAGTCGGTTATCCGAAATAATTCCAGTCGGCAAATTTAAATTTTCGCTAGTGCTGTGGCGCTGCAATCTTTGGCTATATCTCGGGCTACTCCAATATTTTTTTTGTTAGTGTGTGTGTTTTAGCTGGCAGCACTGGCACATTTGTGTGGTGTTTTTTTGGGGATTGTGTGTCATGTTGAATCGAACGTTTTTGATACTAGATTAACTTCTAAAGTATAATTTTTTTTTGGTTTTATATTTTTCAATATATTTATTTCGTTTGTAAAAAATAAAGAAATAATTTTTAACGATACAATAGCCACGATTATTATTTTAAAAAGTTTACGTTAGACTTAACATCGACGAAAATTCAACGCGAAGCGACACGCAACGGATAAAAATTTCAACACGGGATAGGTAAATACATTTTTTCGTACGTAATTGGTTATCCGAAAAATAAGTTATCCGAACAACCCAGTCCCCAATTGATTCGGATAAACGACGCTCTACTGTAATTATAAAAATAACAAAAATAAAAGGCTAAATAAGAAGTTTAAGTACCTACAATTTATAGAAGTTAAGAAATGGAAAGATAGCCTCATATAAGGAACTGATATAAGGTTTTTTGGAATCTTTATAGACACTCTACAGGATGGACTGGATTTCAATGGTCCAAACCAATGGAATACGTTAGACATTATACCGAACTTAGATCATGTATGCAACAATATAAAATCATCAGAAAAAGAAGTAAATGAAATCAAAATGGAAATTAGTAATAAGTTTAAAAAAACACGTAAAAGATGTAAAAGGAAAGAAAAAAAATTACCGAAAAATCTTACGTCGAATATAAAGATAGAATTGAAAAATTAAGAACTTTTTTAAAAGAAAACGATATAGAAATTATAAAGGCAGACAAATCAAAAGAAGTCATTATAGTACATAAACAATGGACTCAAACAAAAAAATTTGAAATACAGTAGAGCATCGATTATCCGACTGAATTGGGGACTGGGGTTGGTCGGTTAATTGAAAAGTCGGATAACCGAAAAGTATGAAAAAATCCATTATTAGTGTAGTATATTATTATATCCCATGTAATTAGTATATTAGTATATCGCTATTAACCTACTTCGCGTTGAATTTTCATCGATATTAAGCCTAACAAAAATTTTTTAAAAATAATAATCGTCGCTATTGTATCGTTAAAAATTAGAAAATTAAGCCTCGTCTAAATACTGGCTCCCTTTCATGGTCGAGCCAGTGTTGCCAGCTAAAACACGTAAAAGTACTATTAATTAAAGTAGCCAAGACATAGCCAAATATTGTAGCGCCACATCACTAGCGGACATTTGAATTTGCCGACTAGAACGCGGTCGGTTAACCGAGGTGACGATTAATCGGGGATCGGATAATCGATGCTCTATTGTAGTTAATAGCGGAAAATTTGAAGAATTACCTGTAGATCCAAAAGATGTCATCTATGCGGAACTTAAGAAAAGAGTAAACAAACAGTTTAAAATGAAAAAAAGAAGAAAAACAATTTATATAGAAAATGAAAATGGTAAAACACCAAAGCTAAACATGCAATTGAAGACACACAAACCAGGTGAGCAAGTAAGACCTATTAACCTGGGAACTAATAGAGGACACGCTAAGAAAAATTGAAGCACGGGCAGAAGAAATAGACCTAATAGAATTCTCTTACAGGCGTAATTATTTCATCACAAACAGAAAATTGCATACACAAAAAGCAGGAATTAGCATGGGATCAGTTATAGGTCCGAAATTAGCAGAGCTTGTCATGATATACATAGACCAAGAAATCAATAATATCACAGGAATAAAATTTTACAAAAGATATGTAGACGACATAATTATTTTATACGACCAAACAATAGTAAGAATAGAGGAAATAGAACACGGGATAAATAAACTAAATAATTAAATTAAAGATGGAAAACGAAACCAACACAGAAACAAACTACCATGATATAGTAAAAATAAAAAACGAAGAAAAGAAATGCTAGAATTTAAATCAATTAAAGATAACATCTGTATTTACATACATATTATGTATGCCATATAATGTATACATTATGTGGCAGATTACTTTTCCGCTTTTTTCTTACTTTATAAACAAGCTTTAAATCACTCATTTAGTCGCAATCGCCACTCCATCGGGCACCGATTTCGGGGAAATTTGCCAACATATTATATTCAAAGCCCCTCTTTCTTAACTTCGTGTTGTGTTCACTTGACAAGCCCAGAGTAAAATTACACTCTACTGAGGGGTCCTTAGGCGCGAGGCCCAATTGGAAGCAATCGGCTTAAGGCCAGCCTTGTCATTATATAAAATTCCACCAAGAAAGCTATTTTATTTATTTTTCTATAAGTTGATTCTTAATTTTACATTTTATTCTGTTTAAGATACATTCTACATATCCAGAATCATTTTCCATTTTTGCGTTAGACACTGACCACTTAATTCAGGGCCGGCCATCGGGGGTGTGCGGCGGATGCTATGCACCGGGGCCCCGCGATTGAGGGGGGCCCCAAAATTATCGCGTTAAGAAATGAAAATAATACTGTGGCCGTCGGCCATATAAAATTATATGTATATTTGTATATAGTCGTAGTTTTAATGTTTATTTTATAATTTCTTCTATCTCTTTTTGTCTGTCTTATTTCTGGAACTTTCTGGTGACCGTTATTGTCTGGGTCAGATTCGTTCTAAGAATCAAAGAGAACTGTTATAACTGATCTGTTGTAACTTGATCTAAGTGTCAGGTCAAAGGTAGAAATTCCTACATACTTTTCGAATGTCTGAGTGAGTTCTTGTGTAGTCGTCACCCCAGGTCAGTTGTATCCGAGAGTGAATTAAATCTGATTTTTCTGATATTTCCCATAAGCAACAAACTTCAATTATTATTAGGTATGTAAATTTTGAAGAGAAAAGATTAATTATAAATGAGTCATTTATAGGGTTTATTGAAGCAACTGATGTGACTGGAGAAGGACTAGCAAAAAGTCTATTGAAAACATTAAGTGAGCTTGATTTAGATATGAATTGTACAGGGCAGGGATACGACAACGGTAGCAACATGAAAGAGAAATATAAAGGTGTACAATCTAGAATAATTGCTAATCCCTCATGCAATATATGTGTCTTGCCTATCACACTCTTTTAATTTATTAATTCGTGATTCCGCTTCCAGAAGAACATATTGTAAAAACTTTTTGGGGATATTGCAACGTTCATATTGCTTATTTTCTGCATCTACGAAGAGATGGGAAATTCTAAAAAAGCATTTAAACATTACTCTTAAACCATTATGTAAAACTCGTTGGGAAGCCAAAATAGATTCGGTTAAAGTAGGGTATACACAGTTTGAACAAACTTGTAATGCCCTAGAAGAATTTATTGATATAAAGTAACGATAATACAGCAGTATCCAAAGCTAAAAGTCTATTGGATTCAATACAAGAAATGCCATTTATTTTATGTTTAATAGTATGGTTTGCAATGTTGTGTAAAATTAACGCTATCAATATACTATTTCAAGCGAAAATAATTATTCTTGAGTCTACTTTTAATCTATACCTATATCTACGCTTAAATGCACTTGCTATATTAAGAATCGAAAAAAAAATTTGCAGAAAAAAATTGTAATTTTTCTGAAGTAGTTAATGTATTAGCAAAAACAAAATCACGCTTTAAATAAACACGCATTAGTAATATATGTTCGTGTTTGTAATTTTTTTTTACTTTACAAAAAATTTAGGCCCCAAATAGTTTCTTGCACCCGGGCCCCTTTATAGAGAAGGCCGGCCCTGCACTTAATCTGCACAGGCTGGTAAAGCCCGATCTCGGAGTCGTTCGGATGGCTAGGAGGGCAAATCGAGTGGTAAGTCGACAGGTTTCCTCGGATAGACAGGAGACATGTTTAACAAATAACAAAATATGTTTATTCTATAACTAAAGTAATTTACAGGAGTATACAAGTTACTGATTATTGCCTAGATGCGGAAATACAAATATATCTATAATCGCTCTAACTATTCGCCATGCCTCGTGAGAGAGTTTACAAAGGCTTTAGAGTGAGAGAGTTATATTGGCGGTCAATTATACCTTATGTTGGAGGACGGTATGCGACGATCATCCTGGACTATGGAAGCTGTCTGTCTGTCACAGGCTTATATCTTCTAACGGCTTCTCCTTGGACAGGATAGGGACGGGAGACACTTACGCCCTGTAAACCCTCTGGCCCACATATATAAACGCGATAAACGAATCCATAAGAAGGCAAAAGGTTATGCGCTACGTAATCAAATTCGTTTATCAATTTCATTAGATAACTTTCGACCAATGATGAGCTTGCACATTATCTAATCTTACGTTTATTTCTAAACTTCGTTAATGACGTCTACTTCTAATGTTTGACACTCAGTTAAACTTTCTATTGTGAACGTTGGATAAAACTGGCGTGTGAGAAAGCAGTAAGTACAATACTTCATATTAAATGTACTAAATAATTACTCAATTTTAATATTTGTTTAATATAATATGCTATAAATAACTTATAGTAATGGAGAAGATGAAAATATATAAGGAAGTGGGTGGAGTGCCTATGCCGCTGGATTATTCGGAAGAATCGTTTTTATCTGGAATGAATTATAAAGCGAAACTTGGAGATTTATTTCTCGTTAGTTATCCTAAATGTGGAACAACTTGGATGCATTATATAGTCACGTTAATCCTTCGTAAAGGTCAACCATCAGAGGATCCGTTAGATTTCATGTTAGGTTGTCCGTTTATAGAAATTGTGGGAGGAGAATACATAGAAACGGCAAAACCGAAAGCAATGAAAACACATTTACCATTTTCTGCTATTCCTTTTTCTCCAGAATCTAAATACATTTACATTACCAGAAATCCTAGAGATTGCTGCGTTTCTTATTATCATTTCGTGAAATTACTTTCATTTCCCCAGAAAGAATTAAGTTTTCAAGAATTTTTTGAGGCATTTCTCCAGGGTAATTTAAGAAGAGGAGATTATTTCGATCACCTTCTCGGATGGTACGAACATAAAAATGACAGCAACGTTCATTTTGTAACATACGAAGATCTCAAGAAAGATATTAAAGGAGAAATATTGAAAATAGCGAAATTCATGGGGGGAGAATACGAAAAAAGTATTTCGAATGATCCAACAATATTAGAAAATATTATTCATTACAGCAGTTTCGATTATATGAAAGAGAACAGCAAGAAGAACGTTGATGTGTTTTTTCAAAAAGACAAAACGTGGCTACAAAACAAGAATTTTCCTCCAGGGATGATGAAATTTGTACAAAATACAAATAAAACAGGAAAAGACACAAAAACCGGGACTCTGGTTAGAAAAGGAATTGTTGGCGATTGGAAAAATCACTTTAACGAAGAACAAATTCGGATAACCGATTATGTAGGAAAAACATATTAACCTATCCCATGTTGAAATTTTTCTCCGTTGCGTGTCCCTTCGCGTTGAATTTTCGTCGATGTTAAGCCTAATGTAAACTTTTTAAAATAATAATCGTGGCTATTGTATCGTTAAAAATTATTTCTTTATTTTTTACAAACGAAATAAATATATTGAAAAATATAAAAACAAAATAAATTACACTTTAGAAGTTGATCTAGTATCAAAAACGTTCGATTCATCACGACACACAGTCTTCAGAAAAATACCACACAAAAGTGCCAGTGCTGCCAGCGAAAACACACATCAACCAAAAAAAAAAAAAAAAAAAAATTGAAGTAGCCCAAGATATAGCCACAGATTGCAGCGCCACAGAACTAGCGAAAATTTAAATTTGCCGACTGGAAGTCTTTCGGATAACCGACTTTCGGATAAACGACGCTCTACTGTAGAATTTATCAAAGGTTAGGCTTTCATATCGCATCTGAAACAAAGACACGGTACATTCATTAATTAATAAACATTAAGCTTAAGAATGATTCTGGATTTTCCGATCGTTTTCCATTCTTTCGAAAGTAACGTGAGAATTCTCAATTTACATGTGGATACGCACGCTTTTATTGTGTACTATAAATTTGTAATTTTATTACGGATAAAGTTAAAATATTGCAACAATACCTTCCAAGAAGTTACAGCTAATTCCCTTTTACTCGACGAACCATCGTATCGTGTCGTGGAGAGTCGCCATTTTTGGAAACTGCTTCGTTGGCCCACGCCATGACCGCGGGAGGGGATGCATATCTTTAACGCTTCTTGCAATGGGCATGTCTTGTAAATGATTAAATTCCATCGTATTTAATACTTAGTGAGGTTTGTCAAATGATGCAATTAGCCGAACAAATACCAGTAAGCCCCCCTATAACACTGTTGATAATTCCGTTTTATATGAATTCCATTTTGTACGAGTCATTTAGAATTTACAAATATGTGAGCCGTTCACAGCCTGGCACACAAATTTGTAAAATCTAAGTGACTCGTAAAACATGGAATTCATATAAAACGGATCTATCAACAGTGTTATAGGGGGGTCTGCTGTATTAAAATGAAATTTGTTTCAAACAAAATTGTCATATTCATTTCTACTTTCCACAGAAAGTGAAATATTAATTAAAAACAGTTGTCAGTTGAGTAAATTATTAAAGATTCTGCACGCAAAAAGTGTACAAAAGTTCGGGAATGTCCCTGGCTTTCCACATCTGGTGTTGTCCATTTTTTTTTTTTTTTTAATCTATGTAACTCCGTTCTCGAGATTAACGGACAGACAGGCACCCAGACGGACGACGGGTGAAAATTTACGAGTTTGAATATTGCGGCTCAATTAATTATCGTGTCGGTCGCTTATGTTATTGCTTTAATAACGCGAATATAACGATGTTTCTCTAAGTTGACCATTTATTTTAATGTACTTAAGACGTATTTTACATAGCGATATTATTAATATTTCAGATAACCGAAAATGCGACTACAATTCCGAATGACAATAGTCGATTATTCGACTTGCGAAAACTTTAGATGGAATTTACAGAATTATCTTCCTTAAGGAGAATTATTTTAAATATAAAGAAAGATCCGCTTTACTCTTCCTACAAGTTAAATATCCCCCCGTTGCGGCAGAAGAGTTCTAACCTTCGAGTCTGTCCATAGAGAAGTACACGGAAAATCAACAGTCTTCATGTTACGTATTCAAGACGTAGAATTAGCTAAAGAAATAGTTAAACACGTGTAATAATACAATGCCTATTCACTATGGCTGCATACAAATGGCTACTGTAAAATACTTGCCATTACCCACTTATAACTTATACGCTATGCTTAATAGAAATTTCGTCTTGCAAGAACAAACTAGAGGACATTAAAACATTTTCTTTAATGGGATAAAACGAGAATGCCACGAAAATCCAATTTACTTAGAGAAAGCGTTGGAGCATATACTGTATTAGAATTGCAAGAACGTGGTGTACTCTGCCACTATCCGAGTGCAATCGAATCGATGTACCATTGGTACTGTCAGACAGAGCATCAAGTTTGTGTAAAAGATAACGAATACACAACGCCTTCTGATGCCATATTGATTCGGAGAGTAGTCTTGACTCAAACGACAACTTTGTTTTATCCTGCCGAATTGCAATTCAGTAACAGAATGTTGAGGAATTTTGATTCAGATTATGCACACCGACTATCCTTTCGAGACGAAGATGGCAGCAAATTACGGAGATGACGCATTATTGCAATTCGCAGTTACCGTACCTATGATTGAAGGAATAAAAATATGCTCAAGACATTACAAATTTTTGGCATGGTCAAATTCTCAAATCAAAAATCATAGTGTATGGATGTATGCGAAAATAATGCCAATACTATTCAAGCATGGATAGGGGATTTCTCGATAACCAAAAGCGTATCCAAGTACAGTACATGGCTCGTTTGGGACAGTGCTTTTCGCATACAGAAGACACAGTCGAGATTCCTTTAGAGCATCGTTACGTTATCACAGAGGATGATATCGAAGATGGTGTAAATCCTATTACGCAGAAACCTTACTGCTTTTCGAATGGAATTGGCAAAATGTCTAGACAATTAGCCGAGAACGTGAGTATTCACATTTATTATCTCAACTTATAATTATATATTTGTAATTTTGTATCTATTATAATTAGTTTTTAGATTTTGTTATATGTATTGACAAATAGACTGTTAATATCTCAACAACTGCTGCTTCCGTTTGTGTAAACGTGTATAATAATAATAATAAGACCAAAGCTAGATTAGCTTTAAATCCCAGCGAGGGAAGGAACACGTTCGGAGTTTTAGACGTGACGGCCACTCTCGAATACGGCCAAATATTTATTTATACAATACACGAAAGATATCGCGAGACAAAAAATTACTACAGAAACAGTAATTAAAACAGGTAGAAGTATCGTTTCGATAGATTAAGTATAATCGAAATTGTCATTGTAATTATATTATGATATTTCATAATATAATTTTATAATGGTTATATAGAATCCCTAGCAAGCGAGGAGAAGCCGCAAAAATATCCAGATTTTATGGAAAGAGGAACTGACAGACAAACATATCGTTCAAACCGTGCTTTGGGCGAATTATACAGAAATTGTGAAATATTTGAACGAAAAACTACATCCGTCGAACGGGAAACAATTGAATTACGGGCGAATAATTAAAAATAACCATAGATTGAAATGCTTAAAACAAAAACAATTATTTACGTTATGTAATACATTAATTACATCAAAATTATTCGTATGCCAATTAAAATAATTCTCGAAAGATTTATAAATCTAATAAAATTATATTACCAATTCTAACAATGATCATTGGATATTTCAGATTGATCCCGACTTAATTTATCCCGGTTGGAAAGAGTACGAAGAATCTGCACGAATTTCCAGACAAAACTATAACCATTTTCTTCAAGTTTTGATGCAGAGATATGGTGTATACAAACGGAAACTGAGCCAATTTCTGACGCATTTCGCAGACTTCGCGAAAGACATTCCCGAAGACACGATGCTTTCGATACCAAAAAGCTGGTCGTTCGGTCCGTAGAAACATTGCAGAAGCGATTTAGAAACGAATTTCATCAAGAATTGGGAATTTCAGCAGATACCGAAAAGATAGATCCCAGCATACTGGATGATACATTGAAGAAAGCATTGGTATGGTACGTTGTTACATACAATAGCATACAGATTAATTGGTCGCTGGATGAGCAGAAACGAAGAATTCGAGCCAGGAAACAATCTTTGGCTGTTAGAATACTTTCCCCGTATTTTACAGAATTATAATATAAGAGAAGCGGGTGATGCAGAATCAAATGTAAAGAAAGGCAGCATTGCTAATTTATGCTTGGACTTTTTAAAATATATCAGAAATAACTCTTCTCTTCCCAAAAATGTAGCTTGGATCTCTTCTTATGCCGAAGACACGTACAATGTTTTGGCCGCAACTGGCAATTCGTCCGTATTTTGCCAAACTAAACAGTACGACCAATCGAACGTACTAGTAGAATTACGACCCATTAACTTCCCGGAATTAGGAATAAAAAAATTGATACTTTGCGAAATATTTTATGTTCGTTGGTCGATTTAAAATCCTTAACTATTAGAAGTTCGGAAAGAAATTCTTTAGTGGTATCTGCAGTTGGTTCTTGGGAAGCCATTAAATATCTGGAAAACTTCTTTCGCATGGACACGGAAAGTTTACAGAAAAAACTTAATGAAGGAAAGAAAAGATTGAACAGACGTTAATCTTAGTTGAAATGAAATGAGAGAATTTCCTATGCAAAATGTAATGGCATAATTTAATGGGTATTCTATCGCCCAATGGACAATATTGCTTTGTTTTAAAATAATCGATATTTAATAAGGACCACATAATTGTTTACATATGTAGAAAAACTGTACAAATTTTGTTTCAATCATAATATTCTTCTTCTCCTCTGTGTTTCTCGAGTAATTGAGCAGCACTTAAATGCACTTCGTCTTCCTCCTCTTCTAAATCTGATTCTTCTAATTCGTCTTCTTTTAAAACAATTTTATCATCATTAATAATTTCAATGTCTGGAGTTTCTTTTGATTTTGTTTCTTCAATTGCCTTTTTCTCCGTTTCTCTTTTGAAAATTTTTTGTATGTGCTCATCATCATCATCATCATCATCATCATCAATTGGTAAAGATGTTCGTTTATGGCTTTGTTCAAAAATAGAAGACATGACATTTTTAATACTTTTTCAACTATTTTAGGTCTTTGTTTGGAATGTTTTGTTACAGGTTTCTCATGTTTCATTTGGTCTTGTATCTTTAGTGTAAAGATTTTCAAGTACTTCGTAATTTATCTTCCGAGATAACTTTTTCTCTCTTATCATCGTCACCGAGCAATAAATAACGGACTCCAAAGAACGGTCGTTACGATACAGACAAACGAAAGGATTAACTTAATTAAATTATACTAATAGCGGGCCCAAAATTTAGAGTAAGATATACCGGTAAGAGTAATAGAATTATACAGAGTGAAGGGTTCAAAGGGATGACTGGCGATGAAATAAAAAAAAAACCTCAGATTGTTCCGTCGTATGGGTCTTCCTTCCAGCTCTCTCCCGAAAAAAATATATTCTTTGTTCTGTTCGAATCTCCCTCCGTCCTCTGCCAATCAGGTGTCACCCCTTTTGTTTTATAACAGATCAGACCACATGGGTCAACCAACTACACTGTGATTAGGGAAACAAAAGCCGGAAGTACAGTTTTACCGCAGGAAGATGGTAGAGACAAAGCTTAATGACAAAGCTTAATAAAGTCACATCATACTTTCCATCACATCGTGAGCATTATTTGCTTTTATGCGTTTTCTTGAAAACCTTCGGCTCTTTTTCTGCTCTTTATTGCTTCTCTTTCTTCTTTTTCTTTTTGTTCTTGAAGGTAATCTGCATTCAGTTCAGTCCATAATCTAGTTTTCAGTAAAACCTCCTCTTCTGTCATAACATATGAATCAATCTCTTCCTCATCTAAATCCACAGTGTCCAATTCACCATCATTGCTTTCTTCATCTTCTACAGGCTTTTTTCGCATACATTCTTCTATACTTTCCTTGAAACTTAGGCTAGCAGCTGTCGGATGAACTGGAATATAATTTGATTCACTTACAACTTCTTTGCCACTAGTAATATCCTGTCCAACAACATCTTGAATGGATTCAATAGTTTCTTCCATCTCGTAAACTGCTCGGTAATGTCATTCTCAGATAAATTTTGTTCCTCTTGTGGAGTAAACTGGCCATACACGAGTAGGCTGAAAAGTAATGCACACATGCTTGTAGAACACGAACAAAAACAAATAGCAAGATCGGGCCTACCCTCGAAATTTCTTCTTCTTATCCTCTAAAGCTTTTTCAATCAACACTTGAAATTCAGTTATTTTATTTGTAACTTCTAAACCACTTTCTTCAAATTGTTGGAGTTTTTGCTTTCTTTTTCTTCTTTAAAAGAAGGAGGATCTCGTTCTTCTTCCAAATCAATATTCATAAACTCATCAAATGTCAACTGACTTGTGGGTGTATCACCAAATTCTGTTAGCCTCTTTCTTACATTAGCTTCACAAATTTTAATCATATATTTAATTGTTCTATTAAAATCATGCAATCTAGCAGCAACTAACAGAGTAGCACCACATAAACCCGACGCTCGTCTTCCGGTATTCATCAAATCTCTTTTCATCCGCTGTACAAGTCTCATTGCAGTTGTACTCACGGCATGTGTTTTATTTCCAAATTCTAACTGATGTGCAAAACGAGGTACTGTACATATAGACAAGGATCTAATTCAGGAAATTTAAGGCATAGGACACTGACATAAACATTTACCTGTAAAACATCACTTAAATCCAATTGATGCATTGATCATTCTTAAGGTTAGCTAAGTATATGCTGGCCGCCTCTAGCCATCTGATATGGTGTACGTGTCGTGTGGTGCGGATAATTCTTGCTTTCTTAAATTCGGGGTCTATATCCGGATCGGACGCATATACCGCTAGGACCGTCGTGCTCCTTTGTTTCTGAATATCAGCAGCGTGTTCTTTGAGTCTAACCTCTAAGGATCGTTTGGTGGAGCCCGCATACAGAAGGTTTCTATCACATCTGCGATCTATAATCGGTATGCTGTAGACCCCTGACAGCTTATCCTTATCCGGTTGATCTTTTCCATTGGTTAGGATGTTGAAGATCGAAGCGCACCTTCTGTAGGCTATACGTATGTTGTTCTTTTTAGCTATTTCTCCATATAGCCGTCAAATATATGGATTATAATTGACTGGAATGATCTTATCCATATCTTGTCGTTCTACTCTTTGCGGAAGGTCTTCAGTTGCGTTTTGATATTCATGCAATAACTTGCGTACGAGCTTGCCGTATCCGTGTTCAACGGCTATTCGTTGTATAAGTCTTAGCTCTGATTGTAGGGCTCGCTCGGTAGAAGAGTGTGTGTGTGTGCTCTCTTAATTAGGGCCTTAAATGGTGCCACTTTATATTGAGGTGGGTCACATGACCCTACTGGTATGTATAAGCCTTTTGTTCCTAACTTACGGTACACCGCCGTGTGAATTACCGACTCTTCTACCTTGATGTCAATATCTAGGAAGTGTATATTCGTCTGGTGCGCTTGTTCTATTTCTATGGTTAATCCATACGTGTTATTATTCATTGTGTCGACGAAAGCCTTGATGTCTGGTATTTCTTTCCACAATATGATAATATCGTCAACATATCTCTTGACGATGAGAATTTTTTCGTCTAGCTAATACCATTTTGTAAATATTATAAGCAAGATGTATACATTGTTGATTTAGTCGAAGTTGCTCAGATAACTGGGTAATTCTTCTCCTGGTATTTGTGATTCTTTTCCTCTGCTCAATCCGGGTGTTTCACCTCCTGAAGTATCGTGTTGTCCTATTGCCCTTGCTCCTCCATGACTATTTTCTTCAAGCACTGATCCACAGTGTGGATCAGTGCTTGAAGAAAATAGCTTGGAGATCACATGAAGATATATACTATACTTATCTTCAAGCACTGATCCACAATGTGGATCAGTGCTTGAAGATAAGTATAGTATATATCTTCATGTGATCTCCAAGCTATTTTCTTCAAGCACTGATCCACACTGTGGATCAGTGCTTGAAGAAACAATGTGGATCAGTGCTTGAAGATAAGTATAGTATATATCTTCATGTGAGATCTTCCATTACTCATAACTGCGTTAATATAAAGATGAATGTAATTCCAGAATGTATTAGTCTGGAATTGCTATTTATGTTAAGGTGGTCTCGATAGATGCTTGTGTTTATACTGTATGGATGGATGTAGGCTGATGAGGAGTTTTTGTGCCCGAAATGCATTCTACTAAAAATTTGATTGTGCTTAATTAAAATCTAATTTTTGTAAAAATTTAGACTATTTTGCTCCAGTCAGTCCCTGATGTGATAAGCCCTCAAATTTATTATAGACACATTTATTAGGCTAATTAATTTAATCTTAATAATAAGTTGTTAGAGACTTGCCACGAATTCCTTGGGACAGTCATTAACAAGTTGGCGAGACTTAGCAAATTCTTCAGCAGGTTCGCTGATTTAATTGAGTGTTTGTATATTGTCTGTTCATTTATCCTATTGTTAATTTTTATACTTAGAATCAATACTAAGTTTCAATTCTTATCTGGGTTTGAATTCGTATAAAACACGCATATCATTCAAAAATAATGAAATATCTACGTGATGTAAGGATCTTTAAAACGTAAAATAATTCAGAGATTTAATTATTTTACCCTTCTACGGGCCATATTTATTCCAATTTAGGAATCTCCACAGATAAAATACATTTTTATTGGCATATAATGTACACAAAATTAATATTTATTCTTTCAAAATTTACCAATAGAAATTATGGAAAGAAATTCAAATACAGTAGACCCCCCACAACACTGTTGATAATTCCGTTTTATATGAATTCCGTGTTGTACGAGTCACTTAGATTTTACAAATACGTGAGCCGTTCACAGCCCGGCACACGTATTTGTAAAATCTAAGTGACTCGTACAACACGGAATTCATATAAAACGGAATTATCAACAGTGTTATAGGGGGTCTACTGTATTCTAAATAAACATTATTATTTTCAATATAAAATAGTGAAATATGATTATACTCAAACATCCTTTCTATTTTTTTTACTATAAAACTGGTGAGGTTAAATAAATTGTATGCTAAAATACAAATTTTAAGAGATTTTCTTGACCTTTCAGCAACTTTTACCACGAAGAGTGTTACTTTATAAGAGATTAAGTACATTTTCTCTTGCACAAAAAGCCTTAAATTGAACAATTTAACATTACAATCTGCTCTAACTGCACTTAGGAATAAATAAATAAACCTTACACACACCATTAAAATGCAGTCTATTTTATTATAGCATCTAACGTTTTCGGTCAATTAATTAAGGTTGTTCATTCCGTACGTTCCCTTTGTTCTTTGTACAGGAGAGATCCACAAGATAAGTAAATAGAATTGGATGTATTGTGCACATTTCCCTCATAGTATTTACTTGTTTTCAATATGGTTTCATCATATGCAGGCGTATCAAAATCGATGGTTAGTCAGCTGTTTCTTCTCCTTGTCAATCTTTATTCAAAGAAAGATTCACTGCTCTTTGGTACCTTGCCAAATTTCGTTTCTTTATCTTCACTCCATACTAATTGGGTTTTACAATTATGCAATACTAATTGACTTTCAATAGGCGGTATTGATTGTATACAAACAATTAAAGAATTTACAGCTATAAAACTTTATCCTTTATCAATAAACATTAATAAAGCATTAGAACGGTTATATCTTAAAACGGGTTCTCAATACCCCCCCTTTTCCAGTCAGGTAAGGGTCATGAATCCCCTTCTCGGCATGATGTTTTGAAATAACATGTAATATTTTATTGTGTGCTTCTTTCTTAATACAGTAGTTAACAATACAATAGGGCAACATTTAAAATATAGGAAAATTAAAGTTGATTTTTAAATAAAAGTGTATTTTATGTAATGGTCACTACACATACATGCAAGACTACTTAATAATGTATTTAACCAAGATCTAAAATATTTAGTTTTTGATTTAGAAAGAATTCTGAAATCTAGAATTATTGCACAGGCGATTCATAAATATCTCTATTAAGAATATAATAAAAGAAATTAATAATCCAATTCCTAAAAGAGCCAAAGCACCCCTCAAATCTTCTAATGTCATGGCTTCCATTCGACGATCGTTATTAACGGTGCTTTTGTATTCCAGGATTCGTTTCGCATTAATTAAGTCTTCGTTCCATTTTTGTATTAAACCGCCCGCCATAATTCGAAGAATCCTAAAAACAATGTAATTAAAATTAAACAATATATAACTTAACAAGAGTTGAGTAATTAGTATAAGAATTCGTACGGTAATCTGAAGATTTTCTTCAATGGAGAACCTTTTGGCATGGCGATAGCATAGCAGGTAACAAACAAATGATCTTCAGAGAACAAGAACTGGTCTTCCATTCTTGCAGCAATGGGTTCTAATGGTCCTCTTGGAAATATCAAAGCGTATTGATGAATATACACTCGTTTCATACCTTCTTCCACGTTTTTAGTTATTGTACCTTCTGGATCAATTGATATATACTTTCCCAGAATATAAAATTCCTTTTTCTCTTTAGTAGCCATCTGTAAAGGTTTTTTTTTGAACTATTAAACATTTTATCCGTTGTCGGATCGCAATCTTAGTTTATCTTTTTATTACCAAAATATTATTAAGAATGGATGTTCCATCAATGGTTCCAGCTTTAATTTCTCCATTTTCAACAGCATTTAATAATTCTTTAACAGTGTCAATACCATCTCTAATTAGTGGAACATTAAGATAAGATATTAGTGTTCCACTGTAACCAGTCATGACAATCATGCAACATATCCACCACGAAGCTACCATAATTCTTATTCTGTCAGAATATGGAATAAATAGCGTGCCTCCTAAATGAAATTAAAATAAATACAATTTTTTAAAGCAATTATTTAAAAAAAAAAAAATGGTATGTTATTACCTTGAAAACTCATTGCCCCATAAAGATACCATATGGCATCAAGCAAAGACCATCCTCTTAAAGGTGATTCGTATAAACTGACGAAGTATATAGCAATAGACATAACTATTATAGTGAAAACTGAAGCTAGATAAACCTTTTTCAAACAATAGTATATATGTATTTAGTAACGGATTTTTTTTTTTCAATTTTTAAATCTTATATATGAACTTACTTCAAATTTAAGAGGTTGCAAAAGAACTATCGATGTAGATACTTCTTTAGGATATTTCACAACGAAACAAACAGGATCAAAAAAATAAGGATAAGTAAAATCTATATCCTGTTCTCTTTCAGCTGTAATGCTAAGATCAGTCATTGCAACATCTGCTTTCTATGGAAAAGTTTTTACGCGTAATGTGTAATATATAAAATTTGTATGTCAATGAATTAATTATCGAGATGATTTTACCTGCTGATGCACCATTCCTATCATTCCGCTCCAACTGTTATTGTTTTTTCTACCCCACTGACGATCTGGTGTTAATATAACTTCGTAACTATGAAAGATATAATAAATATTACAATAACTTTAATGGAAAAAAATCATAATACACAAAATACTTACTTAAATTTAAATCGCTGTGAAAGTGCATGAAACATTTGAAAATCAATTCCACTAAAATTTTCTTTATTCATGAAAAAGTTTTCCGTTTTAGAAAAAAATGGATACACCTATTGAAAAATATATATTTATGAGACTATCGATAAGAACTATCCTAAGATTATAATGGGATAAGGCAATGTTGATCTGCCAAGGATGACAGAACCTTTCAGGAGGACTTTCTATAAGAAAGTGGCCTATATTTATGAAGAAAACCCGAAAAACTCCATGTGGCCAATCCATTGGTAAAGCGCAAACCCACGATTTCAGTGGTTTTATCTATTGGGCCACTGGTGGCTCCAAGCCTAAAAATACTATATCGGACCCCATCCAAATCACCGGCCGCACCACTATGAGCCTGGATGTAATGGACTTGTAAAAAAAGTTCCTTTGTGCCCACAGGGATGAAAGAGCTTTAAAAAAAGCCTAAGAACAGTTCTAATGTACTTATATTTCTGTTATAAATATTATGACGCCTAATATATACTATTTGGCGTCTGTGTACTGATGGTAAAACAGAGAAAAGATATTTTTAAAGTCAAAATGGAGGGATTTGTTCTCTATCCAGTCCAAATGAAGGACATGTTTCCACTTTGAAAGACATATCATCCTTTTAGATACCATACAGTAATCCTGGAGGCATGCCTCCCCAGTGAGCACGAAGAAGTGATCAGTATTGTTATTTTCGAGTATAACTCAGGCACGTACTCGATACTCTACCCACTAGTTTCAATACAATATAGCATTAAAACATTTGCAAACTTCCGTATTTATTTCATTAACATTATTAAATATTTACCGTAAAATAACGTTAAATAATACCTCTGTATAACGTACAATAAACGTTATACAGAGCAGTTACAACTGTGGATTCGGTTTGATCAACGTGGTGACCACGTAAAGTTTTTCGTATTTTCTTCACGTGTATATAACACCTAATTAGGGACCAATTTCCCTTAGAAAGTCGTCCCGAAAGGCATTCCCCCTTGGCATATGGCCTATTAATTATCCCATCAATCCAATCTGCAATAATATTTTAAATGATTTTATAAACAGTAAAGTAAAAATCTATGAAAAACTTACATTTAATGTTGCAGCGGTTAATGTTTGACCCATTAAAAAACTTCCATTAGTAGAATCCATCAGACCTACAACAGAATTTGAATCCATTCCTTTGGTATAAGACCATTCGGCTAATAAATATAATCGGTTGCAGTTTCTATTCATAATTACGGGTCCTTTAATGAAGTAAACATCAGAAAACTATAAAGAATAAAAAGAATTAGCTTTATTTTTAATATTTTATTAGAGAGGTTGAGGCAGAAGTTTTCGTCTTTAAAACGTGAACGTCGAACGTCGAGCGCCGCTTACAAGATACCGGCGCTCGACGTTCGACGTTCACGTTTTAAAGATGAAAACTTCTGCCTCAACTTCTCTATTATTTATATAAAAACATAAACTTACATTATTTACAGAGATTTTTCCCACTTTGCAATTGTATTGTGAATAATCTTCAGTGTGAAACAGTAACCAACGTATCATAGGAAGTGCAATAATTGAGCTTTTTATCTAGATATGATGACAAATTCTTGATAAATAATATAAAATACTTACAGTCGAACCCCCCCATAACACTGTTGATAATTCCGTTTTATATGAATTCCATGTTGTACGAGTCACTTAGATTTTACAAATACGTGAGCCGTTCACAGCCTGGCACACGTATTTGTAAAATCTAAGTGACTCATACAACATGGAATTCATATAAAACGGAATTATCAACAGTGTTATAGGGGGGTTGACTATACTTTGTAATGATTAAAATTTTACAAAATTTTTACCATAGGAATGAACGATAATGGACAATGGAATAGCATAATGTAGATAGGGGTAGCAGGCTTATTCATAGTCAACAAACTAGAAGATAGTCGATGAATTTTCTCACCGTCTTGTAATGCGAAATACATTATGGTCATGTTCTTGTCGTGTAAATTGTTAATGGCATCGTATAAAACTAAAATATGATGCCATGTTATTACTATTTATTATAATAGTGTAATTATCATCTGATATAATAACTTACCGCAGTTCTTTTCGAATACATAAATGACTTCTACATCTTTAAGTAAATACAGCTTGATATCATATAAAAATTCCGATAAATGATTAAGAGATTTCCAAAAATCGCATTCGCAACCCTCTAAATAAAAATAGAATTGGTTTAATAAATAAAGGTTTTCGTAAATGAGCTCACACAGACTTACCTGTTGAGTAGAAGAGATATGCTAGACAAATCGAGATGATAAATGACATTGTTAAGCATGCAATGTTCTCGATTGGTGTGTTTACATCGATGTATCCAGTATTATATGAGCTCCACACACAATTTCGTGCTGCTAGTTGTAAATTTTAACTATAGATTCAAATAATAGGAAGTCAAAACTTTCGACATGTTTACTATTAAACATCTAAATAATAAAAAATAAAAAAACAAGGCGGTTAAGGCGTTAGCTTACCGCTCTAGAGACCCGAAAAATTTTTCATGGCGGATATGTCGGGCCCCAATTGTGGGCTTGGATTAACCAGCAATGGATATGACATAAAGGCCTTCTCAGTGCCCACAGGGAGGAAGAGATATAGTATTTATTTATTTAGTATTTTACAAATTATATTGCAAAACAACGTGTTTGTAATGAAAATCATTAAATGTATGACACCAATATTTTTAGTCACGCACGTTCCAAAAATTCCTATTGTCACTTCGTTCGATCGATAATTTACAGTACTATAAAATTTCTATCGTTTAAAGCCATATAATTAGGATTATAAATAATTATCACTAGTCAAGAAAAGACTATAATAATAAAGATAAAAGATAAATAAGTGGTTTATTTCTTGTGTATTTTGTATAAAAAAATTATAAGGGCTGGCCACAAATGGGTGAATATGAAGTCAAGGGGGTATGGATGTTTACAAAAACATTACATAATGCTAGGGTCTTTGGTAACAGAATGATTATTTTTTCTGACGTGTTACATAGAGAACCGTACTGTCTATATCCCTGCTTTCTACATTATACACGTAATTAATAAAATAATGTAACGTTCAGTATCCGTGATGTGAATTATTCTTTAAAGGGGATAGATCGAGGATGTTCGCTAAGTATTTTTGGGAGTGGATATGTGCAGCAGCTTTACAGAGCGTTACAAGAGAGGAACGGAAATTTGTTTTAAAAATATGTATAATAACGAATTTAAAGCGTACAGGATGTATTAAATGTTATAATGTATAAGTATGAATAAAATATTATTATGTATGTTGAATACAGTAGACTCCCCATAACACTTGATAATTCCGTGTTATACGAATTCCATGTTGTACGAGTCACTTAGATTTTACAAATACGTGAGCCGTTCACAGCCCGGCACACGTATTTGTAAAATCTAACTGGCTCGTACAACATGGAATTCATATAACAAGGAATTATCTACAGTCGACCCCTCTATAACACGGTAGATACGTTCCGTTCTTTATGAATCAATTTTGTACGAGTCACATTCCAATCACAGCCCGACACGTGTGAAGTTTACGGACTACGGCTGTTTGAAAGGTTTTCTTCCATAAAATTAATCGATTCTAGACTAATTCGACTCAACATTTCCAAAATATGTATAATTTTTTTGGGAATAATCCGTATAAACTACGCTATAAACAAAAAATTGTAGGATTACTTACAGTGTGTGCACCGTTCGACGTCGCCATTGCTCAAGCTTGTTTTCGTCGCGGAGCAGCACACCAAACGGCGGGCGATTTCTGATAATTTATTTTTCTGCGAAACTTCGTTGAACTTTGGAGACATCATTAATATAAACAATTTTTATGGCCGTTGAATAAGAAATGTTTCTTTCACAAGAAATGTATAAAAGTACAGTACTGTATTAGACTTACGGTACCTAATTTACATACTGTACAGACGATAGTAAACAACTTACTTGCCTAAACCCTCCGTAGTGTGGCGCTGGACGGCGGAAAGTATTTCGGCTGCCCGATGACGTTTTACCGAATTATAGGAGTTTTTTTACCAGGTTTGTACGGATACCGTCGCAATTTTTTCGCCGTCTTATAAGAATCGTAATTATAGGAACCCGTGTTATAGGGGGTCTACTGTAATATATATTTACTAGCGAGGTTGCGGCCGACGTTTTCATCTCTAAAACGTGAACGCTGAACGTCGAGCACCGCTACCTTGTAAGCGGCGCTCGACGTTCACGTTTTAGAGATGAAAACGTCGGCCACAACCTGGCTACTGACTCGTTGACACAATCTTTTAGCGTGCTCTTAAATAAAAGGTGTTGATAAATTTGTCCTTTAGGACAGAGTTTTTGTACATTAAATCCAGAGTCTACTGTACTTATAAATACAATGTAGAAATTATTCTTTTTAATGAAAATCCAATAAAAGCCTGAACTCTATGGCTTCGATAGTCGAATTTCAGTAGAAAGGAGTTCTGATGTCTCTGAAAGATCTACTTCTATTAGCAGCTCTTTATATGGCTGGATGGTTAAGGTGACGACTTACTGTTCTGGGAATCCAAACGGCCGGAATTTTTCTGGGTGGGCTGTTTGGATATAACTGGCCTCGTCCCCCACCATCCAGCCGTTCCGTTGTGGGCCTGGTCGAACCCATAATGGTCTTTCTAAAAAAATTCCCTCCTATTATCCACAGGGCTGAGAGAGTTAAAAAAACAAAACTCTATACTGTACTTACTACTTAACAATACCTGCTAAGTATTCAGGGTATATAAATATTATTGTATTAATATTTATAAAGCAATTTATTCTCTGAACGATTCTCTTATTTGATATATCGATTAGTATATAAGTGTACAAAAGTTAAAATTTAACACGGACTCTATAAAGTGGAACACAAATGAATAGTAATTTTTTTTTCTTTTTTTTACTCTTCCGCCTTGTGGGCACTAATAGGGATTTTTTCCAGGCCCACAATGGGGTTGTGAGGGACAGGGCCTGACATAATAAAAACAGACCACCTCTCGAATAATTCTTGGGGTGTTTGACCTACCTGTATGATTATAAATATGTATATAATTTTGTATTAAGTGAATTACCGTACTGTAACAAAATGAAATGCGATAGTCAAAATAATCAACAATAAAAAAACTTTTTATAATGTTGGCTTCCTAATATTTAAGTCATAAGTAAAGCAATTTACAAATTACAATTGTAACAATTATTGTTACATTAAGAATAATTGATACACAAGGCATACTGCACATTAAAGATTACAGTGAAACTAGAAATAAGTGCTTAAATGAATTAATAAGATAACAAATTTCATAATGTTTAATAATTCAAATATCACTTTTAAACCACACAAATTTAAAGTTGCAAATTATGCAGCCCTAAATGTATTTATTTGAATGCGGAAAATGGTTTTAGACTAATTAAATGGTGCCGTGGTGATGGTGGTGTTTGCCATCGCCACAGCGCTCTTTGTCATTGGAACTTTTATGTTACCTCTATTCATTAGGAAGCTATATCATGGGTGATCTTGAAAATGATTATTAAAGGTCATCCATGACTTCCTATTTAACTACATAAACAAAATTAATACTTTTGGAATGAAAAGAATGCAAAAGGACTTTTGACTCACCTTGTATAAATGCAAACAGTTCTCTTACTTGGCTATTTATAGGTGAATGTATTTCAATTTCCATCATATAAAGCAATCCTTAATTCTTTAGCTAATAAACTGGCAAATGACATTAATTTTTAAAATAAAATGTATCTATTACTGAATATTCTTTCAGCAAAGTATAAATGTAGAGTTTTCAAATAAATAAGTAGCTAAATTTAAAAAAGAACTGCTTTATTTATATCTTATTTACATCATCATTTATATGAATACAACTGAATTTCAATTTATCAACAACTAAATCTCAAATACTACCGACAACATAAATTCCATTCCTAGACTTTTGTTCTTGAGGCACTTTTATAACCGATACATTTTATATATTTCGAACGTGTAAATTGACAAATAACTCTTGGTAAATGTAAGAAATAAATCATATTTAATAATGTATCCATTAATACTTTATAATAATAATAAACAAACTATGGTAAATTAGATAATACATAAATAAATTTTACATGTAAATGATATTTACTTAACTGAATTAATATCTAATAATTTCATATCCATTACTATTAATAAAAGAGAAGATAAAATAATACAGTGAAACTTATAAAGTTAATTAATACTTATGATGTTTTAAACTTAATAACTGTTTCATAAACAGGAAAAAAAAAATGCTATAAAAGCAAAAGCTAATATATTAAAATATATTTGCTCAAATAGTATCATATTTTCCAGAGTGTAAGATTAATACTTTGAATAATTTAATTAAAATCTCCAAACTTATTCATGTTTACTAGTAAAATCATAATAGCAGCAGCTTTCAGATGAATTTTAAAATCTAAAGAACTTCGGACATTGTCATAATCCTACAGTGACATATCATTTCTGTACTGTAAAGTATACACTTTACAGTACAGTTCATACAATAAACTCATAATTAGTATTACAGTAGAGCCTCGAAAACTCGGCCTAATGTGGACCGAAGGGTGGCCGAGTTTGTGAAAATGCCGGGAATCGGGAATGGGGTTAAAAAAGGATAAGTATGTGTATGTTTCCTCAGAAAATATTGTACTGTACTTGTATGTATTGTTTGCTTGAGAATACAACAGAGAATAAACTGCCCAAATACCCTTAAACAAAGAAAAGTACGTACTTTATGAAGGCATAGAGCCTTTACTACATGAAAAAGAAAATTAATGAATACACAGTGTACAGTAATTTACCTGATAAGACAGACCTCAGAAAAATACTTTATGAGGCATAAAGCTGTCTATGATGAAAATTAATTATCTAAGGATTTTTTTGCCCTGCCAGGGTGTGGCCGAGTTATCCGGAGTGCCGGGTTATCGAGTGCCGAGTTTTCGAGGCTCTACTGTATTAATAAATAAATTCTTAAATCTTACATATAATAGCACAAATATCTTGAAAATATACTGTAATCACCAAATTTCTAAAAACATCTTAAATTCTGAAAAATACAATACTTCATATCAGTTAATACTTTATGTATTCTACATAAGGAAAAAAAAAGAACTACATTTTAAATAATTATTCAAAGTTATTTTTCGAAATCATTAAGCATTGTTTAATAACTAAACAAGTTTCACATTTATCCATTTGAAACATTAATATAATAATAGTCACATTTTGAGCTCGTATATCATTAAATTCACATTTATTCTCTATAATCCAATAAAGAAT